GATCATGTTCATCAAAACAGCATTTGAATTTTACATTTAATATAAGTGATCATGCTATTCATCAATGAAAAGGAAGGAAAAACAGAATGAATGAAGAAAGGAAGACTTTGCTAAGTTTAAGTCCATTTATTGTACAGTAAAGTTTTTTCATTAGGAAGAAGATATTTTACATTTTGGTTAAATCTTTGTACATCTTTTTATCTGATTGCCATCATCTGAATCAGAGACCTGGCATATTGGAACTATATGTGAATTAGTACAAGAAAAGAACTAGGATTGGTTTATTTCCCATGCTGTTAGTTAACTTCATTGAAATTATAAATGAGAAATTATGGGAGAAAACAAAACCCATAAGTTTACGTATTTAACTAATCTATAAAAAGGAAGGTATTCAGACTACATAATGCATGTCTGCATTATACTCATACAATACAATCATTAGGTGGCTGAAAAATTGATAGTGGAAAGAACAGACAATAAAAATCAGACTTTACCCATGAATGTAATTTTGCTTTCTAAATGCATTATGAATCTAATCCATAGGAAATACCTTCCAACACTAAGGAGGACTAATGTGCTTAAGAATCAGAACAGGTCTTATTATTTGCCACTCATGTATGATGCATATACAGAATTTAGGTAAAAGCTCCCTAAGAACAGGTAAATAACATGTGCCAACTATATATCAGAAGCATAAGACAGGAACGCACCAACAAGTGAAATAATCATAATATTCACACATTTCCAAATCTATCAGACCTGCTAAACACTAAGCAGTACACAATGCCACCTGACATTTAACCCTTAATTGTTCTTGGTAATCAGTCAGGTCTCCTGCCAAGTCTTCAGGACACTATGGGAGTGTGACAGAAGTGTGGTTCATGAACTATTTCATGCAAACTGCTTTCCAAACCAATGTCTCAGTTCAGCTTGCAAATTATTTATATGGTAATTAAAACCTATAATCAGTGGTGGACTCCTTTTCCTCTATAAAGTAGTAGTAAATGGAAAACAAATAAAATGATGAAAGGCTGATATCAGAACATCCTGAAACATATCAAACTTGCAGGTTTATAGTTGTCATTAGGTGACAGAATGTGAACAGATAACTTTTCTTTGATTCACACCTAGAGGTTACCTGCCAACCTGAATGTACTCATCACTCATGAACACAATGGTGAAAAAAAGTTTCTAATTAAGCTGAATAAATCTGTCTGGGTAATAAATATTTTACTACTATGGTCAAACTTTAGGTAAGTAAAATACCAATAATGTCAGATATATTCTTGCAACCTGCTAGAAGTAATTGATCATGGGAATTTTACAAATTAGCTTTTCACAGTACCTAATGTATATTTTTTCTTCTGAAAAACAAAAGTTTTCTAGTGAGCAAAAATTATTTCTTTAGTCAGTATGACCACAAATAAATTTGACAAGTATTGATATTCAACTCTGTACCACACAAACATGTATAACCAAATAGATTTCAATTTTTTACAAAAATAAATAAATAAATAAATAAATAAACTGAATTAATTTTTATTGCGGAAGGTTTTACTCTTGTAGTGTCCCCTTTAACATCTAAAAAATAGGCTGTTGTCTGCACCCGTTTTGGAAGAAGCAATCAAATAGGTGATACTATAGGCTTAATATGCTTCATCCCACTTCCTTCAATCCCAACTTTTTTCTTTATAGACATTATCAGACTGTCTTCTTAAGCAATCATCTTACACTTGCTTTTTAATTAAGTTTCTAACATAAAACAATTAGAAAGCATAACAAGTAGCTTTGTTATTATAAACTATTACATTATAGTCAAAGAAGACACATATAAATAAAAAGGAAAGAAACAGAATACAATATTATTGATAAACTATCAAAAATGGCTATTTTTCCATTCATCAGAAACCAACTAATACTGAAACTTAAGAAAAACATTTTAAATATTTTCATTCTAGGAATATTAGGAAATAGGTGACATTCTCAAAAGAAATACCTTGTCGAAATTTTTTTTTAATTATCTACTTCCAGTTAAATACATAAATTCAATGACTTCTTTAAAAAAATTTTAGGAGAGTGCAGGCATTCATTCCAATGACACTATTACTAACATTAAGACTGTGTTGCCAGTTATGTTACCTCTAAATATTAAGATGTAAAAGACTCTTCTTACAAATAATTTTTTAGAACATACTTTGCTATCCGCTTCGCACCTGAGAATTGTGTTTTTCAGTCATATTCATTGTGACAAGAATGCCTGAACATAAAAATGAAATATTTCAAATTCTTTGTCTTGCAGAATCTCTGTTCTATTTGCTTTACCTCTTGCATATTTTAAAAAATGAAATTGTTACTACTTGTTAACTATTTAACAACTGTTTATTAGTTTGAGTATTGACCATGGTCTTCTATTCTCAGGCTCATAATACAAACATACACAAATCTAAATTTAAATTTTGATCCTGATATTTGAGTTCTGAATATTCCTTAAAGTTCCAAATAGTCTACAGGCTGGAAAGAATAATAGAAAATGGACAAGATTCTACCAATGAAATCAGAAAAAAAAAATCACTTAAAACTTCTACAATACAGGAACCCCGAGGAACTTATTTGGGTCCTCTAGACCAAAGTTCTCTATTTCATAAAGAAATTTCAAGTCTTCTTTTCAGATTTTTGACTAAGTTTGAGTGGATCTATGGAAGGTGAGAAAATAGAATAATAATTTACAGCCAATAGAAATGACCTACTTATATAATGCAAATTGCAAATAGCTGAGAAGGCAAAAGAGCTGATTATATATGATAGTGTAGTTACATCACATATACCTCCTTCGGAGAATATAATTATTCAATATTGTGTCTGCATGATATACTCTATGTGGGTGACTATACATACACTCACCCATACAAATTCAATATAAACAAATAGTAATGATTTACTGAGATTTTTGTATGTATTACCAATTGCAACCACAGGGGAAATTATTAATAAATTTTATGCTGTATGACATTTTCCAAATTATTTTAACTACTAATGTTTCCAAATATGATGTCTCTCCTAACAACCTTATTGATTATCACTTGCTTGTTTAATTAGTCAGTTAAAAAGCATGCCTCTGGGTGACAAAAAAATGAAATTCTCACCAGGAGGAAAGAAAAAAAGAGAGAGAGAGATTTGAGCATCAGAATAGAAGAGGGAAAAGTTTAGTTTAAAAAGAGATAATTGAAAAAATACAAATAAAGTTCACAGCAGGAAGCTTGCCTATATAGAGAAATAGGCTGCAGCCTGTTAATATGTAACTACGTTTTCATAAGAACAATCTGTTAACAGGCTTACAAATCAGACTGAGTTTTATTTTCAAAAAGTATAGTTAGAATTAAAGAATATTATCATTTAAGTACTATTCTGCACATGCTAGAAAACTTACTATTTTTAATCAACAAATCTCTGTATTTTAAGCAATAGTATGTTCCACTATAAATAACTTCAATATCTGCATATGAAATAAGGCTATTTCACAAATAAAAGCTAACTAGTTTAAAAAAAAGTTAATATATGGAACTTTGAAAAAATTAATTCAAACTGTTAAGAAAAGCTCTTCCATTTGCTGAAATTATCTAGTGAGGATGCACCTTAATTAAAAAAAAAAAAAAGAGGAAATGAAAGTAGACAGTATTAGAGTATATATGCTGGCTATTTTACTTTCTTCCCTAGTCTGATACTGGCTTCTCTAATATGTGACCACATTAAACGTTATTTTATTCTCAATACTCTTTTTCCCATCCATTGCTTCACTTCTAGAATGTTTTAATCTTTGTCCTTTCTTTTTTCGTCTTTTCATATCAAATTCAGTCGTTTGAGCGATGAACAGCTTGACTTAGCATATTTTTAACCAGCTGGTCTAGCACCTAGCTTGCATTGCATAGTCAGATACAACAAATGTTTATACAGAAGGTAGCTTTCATGAAAAGGAAAAAAAGCCTGGGTATCATGCATCCTGAGTTTTTTTTAGCTTTTTTTTTTTTTTTTTAAATTCACCATGCAGAATACAAAGTTTGAATTCTTTTTAATGGCAAACAAAATTCTATTTATAGTTCAAAAAAATGAACTTATGCTGGGATAAGAACTCAAATTTAAAAATTGCAATGTGTACTTATAGGAACAGTAAGAGGGCTAAAATTCTTTCAAAGCCCTGCTTTGCTTACACCAACATCAAATGGAAGAATATTGCACATATTTCTCTAAATAAGAACAAATTAATTACAAATACACTTATTCCCATCACAGCAAAAGGGAAAAATGTAGTAAATCAAAATTCAGTTAAGACAGCCAATACAAAAAGTGGCCACTAAAACTTAGTAAGTGAGCAGCCGACTCCTCCTTTTTCTTTTTTATTTGACACTCCAAGAATAATCTACTAATATATAGCTGGGAGGTTAAATTTTCTTTGGGGAAAAAAAAATCTGCTCTCTTATATCAACAAAAGGTCATGTGCTTTACTGAGCAGCTTCCAAAGTTTTACGGAAGGATCAAATAGGAACTTATAGCCTCTGTTTTAACTACCACTAAAAGCTTCTGTCACCCCAGAAATTACATGAGACAGAGATGCTGAAAATGGTTAACACTCTGTACAAAAGCATTTTTAAAAGGTGTAGAAGGGGAGAAAAAAAATCAATAAAGGAAGAAAGTAAGAGAGTGAATGAGAAAGAGAGAAGCAGCGAGTGAGGGAAAGAGAGATGCTTAATGTTCATTTAATTTCCTGTTACAGGACGCAACCTAAAAACATTAGCAGAAATCTCTCGGAGACTTTGCAAATCAGTTCAATTTGGTCCAGGCAAACACAACAAAAATCAGCTAACAACATCGCAGAAGCCCTAGCTGAGAGCTTCTCTAACAAACACGTTTTGGGGGAGCATCTTCCAGTTGACTCAGAGACTACTGTAAAATGGGAGAGTTGTACTTCAATATATTCGGGGGTGGGGGGGAAGAACTGTACTCACCTTTCAAACTCCTGAGGTAAATCAGGGTCAGTAAGCATGCTGGAAAAGCACAATTTCCCTTTGTCACAGCAGCCACCTATGATCGTCTCCAACTGAACCTGTCAAGTGAGTCCAAACCTTCTAAACCAATTGATTTTCTCTCTCTCTCTCTCTCTCTCTCTCT